CGAGGTTAGGTTAGGCTAGCGGAGAGTGCATTTATTGGCCTTTTGGCCAAGATTTCGACCCGGGCTGCAGCGCGTCGAGGAGGTGGACTTGACCCGACCTGAACGCGTGCAATACGGCAGATCAACACCCGTAAAGAAGGACACGGTCTCACCAACAGCGTCAATGGCCGAGTGGGATAAGGCATAGACATCTGACAGCAGTGGCGTGGGATCGACTCCCGGTCGGGGCGAGCCTACTGCGAACCTTTTCGAACACCAATTTTACAACAAAAAAGAGGCAAGTTGCGTTGATGCGTGTGCTTCGGCCCCGGATCGAATCCAGGCCTTGGCTGAATAGTAGAAGTTTAATTCCAGGTGGCCTGTACAGGCATACGCAGAAGCGGACGAGAGCTCAGCACAAGCAGTCAGTGTCCGAGTGGGTTGGGGCGAGTGGCGAGCGTGCTGGCTTGTGGTCACCTGTGTAAGGTCGGTCCGGGGATCGAATCCTGGTCGGGGCGGAACTTTTCCCCGTTTTATTGGCTACGGCTATGTGGCCGCTAGAGACACCGTACATTGGCTCCACCCTTGAAGCGCCACCCGCCATGTTGCCTTGGTAGGGGAATTGGTATAGTGCCCGGTCGCGACGCAGATGATCGCACGTTCAAATCCCGACCGGGGAGCACTTTTCTTTCTGTTGGACATGTGTTTTCCTGGCGTCAGGGGCAGTAGTCGGTAGAGACGTAGGAACAAGCAGACACTGGCAGTCCACCGGCAGTCAGTGGCCGAGTGGGTTAATGCGTCTGCGACTGATCGCTTGGGTGTGGGAACGACTCCCACCCGAAGCGGGCGGTCCACGACTTTTCTCGCTCCCTCGCTCTCTATTGCGAAGGGAAGGGGCGAACGCACAAAGAGACTCTCGCAGCGATCGAAAGTATCGTGGCGCCGTAGCTGAGTCGGTATAGCGCCATCTCGGAGAACCGATGGTCAGAGGTACGAAGCCCACTAGGAATTCGTTTTCCACTTTCCGTTTGCAACTGATTAACGGCCGGGCGAAGGCAGCTCAAGTATGATCCAGACGCCGTATTCTTCCGCCGCTTCGGTAGTGTATTGGTTAGCGCCACTGCAGTTGGCCCCGTCCCCCCGGGGGTCGTGGGTTCGAATCCTCGGAATCCGAATCGGATTCCGAGGATTCGAATCGACGACCCTCTCCCCTCCCCTCCCTTCCCCCGGGTCCAACTGGAGTGGCGCTAACCGATAACAACCGAGGCTCATTTTGCCATCTGAACAAAGACTAGCCTAACCTAACCTAACCTA